TTGTGAAGTTATGAGTGCATTTCAGAGTTTGCCGATGCGCTCATCGTGATTTTTGAGGCATTATCTATAAGAAACAACTCTTAGTTTTGCTCTAGCAAAAGTTTGCAACAGGCCCATTATGCCTGAAAATCAACCGTTTAGTAGATTCAGGAGCAAACGCCATGGACGCTCGAGTCGCGTGAGCGGGGGCGTGCAACCCCTCGTGCAAGCGTTATAATTTTTAACAATCTCTAAAATATGAATAATCCTTCTCTTTTACTCCTCGGATTCCATTTTTGGTCACAGTTTATTGCAGATCTTTAGAGCTGAATTTTATGGATTTCGGGAAGTGCCTCTCTAGCAAGTGCCTCTCGCCTCTCGCAAGTGACCTCTAGATGAGCTCACTTTCTTCAAATTTTTGAATTATTTATAACCCGGGAAGCATCCTTAGGGAGCCCGGCCGCTTAAATGATACGTAACCCCTTGTCATTAAAAAAATTGTGTGGATTTTTTATGAAATCCCGATTTACACTATTATTCAATTAAGTCGTGTTGTAATTTTTGTATAACTTTATGATAGATTGTGCAATTACCACAGTTATTGATATTGGACATGGATGATTCGCCCTTCTTGAAGACTTGAGTTATCGGTTTCAGACACTCAAAATCATATTCCGCACCAACATTTTTATAATCTCCTTGATATTCGCCTGAAAAATCATTCATACTTTAAGTATAAGTGTAGTTTTGGATTTGTTTTAAATAAATATTTGAGATTAAACACACATGTTTATAACGTATAAAGGATCGATGCTTCAAAAATCATAGGATATTCTATATATTTTCGTTATTTGTCTCTTTCCATCCTAAATCACAATTCCAACTTTCCTTTCTCTTTCTTCCCTTTTAATTTGAAACAAAAAAACCTAATTTTACATACGTTAGATAAATGTTTTTCCCCTTTCTCTTTTCTCTTCAAATTCTTACTCGTCAGTTTTAAGGTTATTTAACAGCGTTCATAGAATTATTGGAATCGTCGTTTAATAAAGCATCTTTTTACGACCGAAAAATTTATAAAATTAGAGGGCGTTTACCATATATACTTGTATTTACCTAGTAGTAATTTGTGATAGAGTTGATTATTTGTTTATAATAATATCATGCACAATGGAGAATTTGCATGCAAATTTTGTATCGCTTTGCATCTAAAAGTACTTAAAGAGCTGATTTCACGGTATTTTTTATAATTTCTTTCTGATATGGGAAATATCATAAAAATAGATTTAAAAGTGAGAAAATGCACCACCTAGTGACGTCATCTGGCGGCATTACCCATTTAAACACACGTATTTTTGCAGATTATCATTTTGTCATATCTTCCCCAATAATTGTTCAATTCATGAGCGAAAGATATTCTCGTGTTCAGTCCTCTCAATAGTTTCCACTTAACACGAAATTCATCAAATCTCAGACACCTGCAAATTCTCTATTCTTTTAATTAATGATTTCTGGAAGTATCACATCTAAGAGCTACTGGGATAAGTATAATATTATCAAATGTTTTTTCGAGACAGAAAGCAACTTGAAAACATACATACATATAAGTCGCTTTACAGCACTCCCTCGCGCTCTACGACTCCTAACCTCCACTGCTCTCTTTCAAACCACAAATCTTGGAGGATTGAGCACCTTAACATTTCCGCTTCAATCCCTTCCCTCCAACCTTTCATTGGGCGCCCTCTGCGTCTTCTCCCAGGAGGAACCCAGTCAAGGACCTTCTTCGGCAACCTGTCTCCTGCCATTCTCTGGACATGACCATACCAGATGAGTTGTTTCGTCATGATGTCATGCACGATGGTCTGCTTGGCATCCATGATTTCCCGTACCGTCTCATTCCTGACGCGATCCTTTCTGGAAATACCAGCGGATCTACGCCAGAAGTCCATCTCCGTTGTCTCTAAAACCTCCCGGGTCCGCTCAAGAAGAGGAATATGCAGGGTAGGAGGGCAATCGCTATGTTAAATGGAGTCCTTTGGGATCAAAGGATCTCCAAAGAGAACAAAAGAAGGATCTACAACGCGATTGTCAAGAGCATAGTAACCTACGGGTGTGAAGTATGGCCGATGAAACAGCGGAACTTGAAAACATACGGGGGATAATATAGCGGAGGAAATGGGGGAGGTTCAATAAGGATTGGCTCCTACCGTTATCATCAATCACTTCGAGCATCCAGATGCACCCTTTACTTGGTACTCCGTTTACCGATACGTTTTTTAACATACCGTATATTTTACGCAAATCTTCAGGCCACATGTGTTTAGCTGCGTCAATCCTGAAAAAATACAGATAAAAATCATACAAAGATTATCTAATACTTATACATATAAACAGGAAGATAGCGTTCGAGCTTTGCGCAACGAACGCATATGGAGGGTGAAGGGGTGTTGGAGTCTGCGTGACAGTGCGTACAGGGGAAGAGTGGGACTGTAGTTTGGAGTTACGTGACGTGCGATTTGGAGAAGAAAAAATTGCAGATGGATGGGAGGGGAAGGCTCTGATCAGAATTACGAAAGCCATGATGGGACGCTGAGTTTGCGACCTACACGGAAAAAATTAAATTTCTGATTTAACAATTCAATTGCTAAAAAAAAGTGACTGCAATGTTTCAATGTAGATTTTACAAAAAGAAAAGAAGAATAAGAAAAAAATGCTACTTTAACCACCCCCGTGGTATAATCAGCTCACAATAGTGGTTAAAGTAGCATTTTCTATTGTAAAATCTACATTGAAACGTTGCAGTCACTTTTTTTAACAATTGAATTGTTAAATCAGAAATTTAATTTTTTCCGTGTATGCCATGTGTTACGCTGTAAGTTAACGTTTTACGGGGCAAGGGAAAAGTGTGTCACTTATTACTGAACGTCCCGTTGGTAATTCATTCATCAATTTTGACGAAGAAACATATGTTGCGGTGCTTTCATTCTTGCTATATCTTATTATAAGTAGCTCATTTTTTCAAACTGATGACAAGCTTATATACAGCCTAGATATACAGCCTGTGAATCTTATATACATAGTTCTTTCTGATTCATGCAAAAAGCGCATTGCCTTTGACCCTATGCAATAGAGCTGACCTGCTGCTTCGGAAACACGTCTAGGTTACTAATACCGACCGTCCAGGGAGCTGTGTTTCGAGCATAGGTGGACATAACGCGTCCCAAGTAGCATTTCTCAACGGAAAAATCGCTATTTATTGCGATTTTATCGGCGATAAAATCGCCAGGATCATCAACATCCGAGCGATTATCCTCGATCTTAACGCGATAAAATCGCGCTTTTATGTACCGACAATTTATCGCGATATTTTCAAAATAAAAATCGCGATAAATGGCGATTTAATCTCGATTTCATCGACAAAAATTGATTACGATTTTATCAAACCAAAAATTGCGATTTTTAGAGATTTAATCGCCATATATCGCGATTTTCAATGCGATAATATCTCGATATATTGCCACCGATATAATCGCGATAACCAACCGATTAAATCGCTATTCATCGCGATCACTGCTACTTGGGTAGTGCAGCTACTTGGACGAGTGACATTGGTGACGAAACCATTGAGTACATGGAGTCGTAATGCCAGGGAGAAGAGCTGGCGCCGCACTTATAAGCATTTTCCAGGTCCCGAATTCTAGGACTCCTATGGGGGTTCACTTTTTCGAATCATAATCGATTGTTTTCGATACACGGGGACCCGGTCATCCGATGTAGGTAAACAAAAAAAATAAAAATCACTAATAATTATTCCACACCGTCATTTTGGATCGAACATGTATAAAAAAAGTGACCGAAGCTCGGCGCGGGTTTGGAATTCTGCGATATATCGCTATTTCTCGATTTGAAGATACGGTAAAGAATCGACTATTAAGGGGTTCGTTGCGAACACTCTGTTCACCGATCCTTTGCCATAGTTTTAAATGGCAGGTCAATCGATACATCGCAAAGCACGCCACGCCCCTGCTATGGACGAAACGTGTAACTTTTTTGAGCAGGTTAGCTCGACTGCAGGATGAGAGGCAATAATCATTGTGAGTAGGAGGTAATGCGCTTTCTGGCGTGTTAATATTATTTCGTACGTAGTTTATTTTTACATGAGCACGTCCAAGCACGAGGAAGTCTATGTTCATACCGAAATCCAGCGACCCCAAAATCTATTAATTTGTTCAAGAAAGACGCGATTTTTTGTTGAACGTGTCCTTGATTGTGATCCACGTCCTCAAGATCATACAATGTACAATATCGGACCTTAACATACAGAGCACACATGAAACAAAGCACGCAAGAAACATTAGACAAAACGATGAGACACAAAAAGCGAGACGCGAAGAACATTAAAACATGGATAGTAACGGTTACAGGACATTTCGTCAACGATTTTTTGTCCGCGCACCTGTTTTTTCCAGTAATTTACGTCCACGCGTTTTTTCGGCACGGGATTTTTGGTCCACGTGCCAGTTGAGACCCTAAGTTAATTAGCCCACATGTAATTACAAACGACAATTGCTCACGACGTTTTTGGATGAAAATATACAATGTCTTGGAAGAATGAGGGTTTGCTTGTTTTTTTGTTTTGTCTGTTTGGTCCAACGGAGAATAATATATAGTTGAGAGTCTTGGTAAAAAAGAGGGAGCGTCAATTCCATGAGACAAAATTCACTAAAACTCTCTACACCTCTTTGGTGTAACAGGACTTAATTATCTTTCAAGAAATCCCCACCTTGTTATACCTGAACCGGATAAACTCCTATATTTGCCTCAGCTAAAGGCTCTTAGATTTTTCCTGTGTACGATAAGTATCTTGATTCATTTTGCGAGGAAAGATCTGTACTTTTAAAGGATGCCTGTCGTTCTTAATACGTTCAATTTCGTATAATACTGTGCAACACCTCTGTTGTGAAATAGTTGCTTCAGGCGCCGCCGCACGGCGGCAGGGCGGCCAGCGCGACGCACATTGGCGCCTACAAACCTAAGTGGATACTTCAAGCATTGTGCAATGCGTGAAGTATCCACTTAGGTTTGTAGGCGCCAGTGAGCCTCTCACGCTGGCAGCACGCCGCTCCGCTCTGTTAGGCTTTAATATTTATACTCGCATAGTCAGCGTTTTTTAACTCATGATTTTGAAATGTTAGCACACTCTGCATTGATCATTCTCATTTAAATTGATGGGGAAAAAATATATATCAATTTAGCAAAGGAGAATAATAATATAATGTGTGTTTTTTAAATATTGGTGGTTCTGTGTCTTTAATGATTTCCAAAGCACTTTAATTTATTCTTTTAAATTTTGTGCTTTTATTGTGCTGCAGCGAGGTGTGCGCGCAACGAAACGCTCAAAATTTGACGTATTTGACTCTAAAAGATCGATGCACAAATGGGTTAAAACTAAAGATTGCGTGCTTCTTGGTTTTTTTCCTTCTTTTATTCATTTTTGCAGTTTCTGTTGGCACAACTGCGGCTCATTGAGATTAATGTCGCTTGGAAAAGGTTTTACAAATATTTGTCACGTTTTAAAAATATAAATGTTTTCAAAATGAAGTAATAATTTAGTAAAGAAAAAAGAAAAAAAGAAAAAAAAAGTACCTATACATATATAAGGTGTATTGTACATTCAATATTTTAAGGATAGAAATAAAACTAAATATTCACCAATGACAATTTAAAAAGATGATTCAAAAAGAGAAAGTAATAACATTTCATTTAGAAAATGAGCAATCATAACATCACCTCCTTCTCTCTCAATTTCTCATTTCCATATTGTCAATATAATTTTACATACCGACTAAAATATATCGCTTGGAACAAGTCACTGTTGCTTATTTTTTGTGTGGGCGTAAGCTACTGGACAAAAAAGGTGCGCGGACAAAAAATCATTGACAAAATGTCCTGAAACCATAATAACAGAAGGACAACAAAGGAGAATAAAACAATAGCGATGGCTGAATAGTCGAAAAATGCGTATCTTCGATTGCGGCGTTAGGTTGAAGCGCCTTCAAATCCCAGTGACACTCTCCGCTTTGCCGGGTAGTTAGTTTAGTTGCCTATCTGAGCCAAACTCAACTAAGGTACACACGCTTGCAAGTATGCCAGCTGGCACTATATGTCTTTAGGAAGAAAAGAACGACTGAAATCTAAGCATAATGATCGTTTTTACTTTGATAACTTATCTAATTCGTTTCTTTACTTCTTAATTTTTCTTACGAATTAATTGCAATCGGCCGGTGTTTGCCTACGACATGTATACACATTGTTTGACTCTAGCCAACCACTATGGACTTCAGTTATCCGCTGCTTATGATCTGGTAAATATTTCGCACTGCTAAATCAGTTTCTCTGAATCCCCTCTCCCCTAATTCCCTGCGTTTTCCATGATTTTTGAGGTTTTCCGTACCTTTTAAACGATTCTCTGGGTTCGAAATTTCTTAAATTATGCAAAGGCTATCAAATTTCCGGAAAACTAAAGCCCATCTGTTCTTAGAATGTACATGCAATAGAAAAAAGAAAAAAAAACATTTATAAACGAGGTTCCGCATTGAAAATTCATACCGAAATCCAGCGACCCCAAAGTCTAGCTGTCTGTTCAAGAACGTAGCAATTTTATCTTGAACGTACGGTATGGTCTGATTCACATCTTCAAGATCACCCAATTCACAATTTCGAACCTTTCAAGGGCACACATGAAAAAATTGCATCAGCGTTTTTGAATGGGAGTACAGGTATTTTCTTGAGAAGAAACAAAGACCCGTTCAATTTATGATATTTTTTTTTGCATAATTGCATACCTTTGCAAAAATGGATTTGTGTCTAGAAGAGGCTATATCGACTGTGTAAGTCGACTGTCACATACCTCGGTTTGCGACGTCGCAGACTTCCTGTCATACTTAATTTTTTAAACGGAAAACTACTCAACAGCAATTCTTTAAAGCTGCCGCGATTTTTCTTCTCTGTGCGAAGGAATTTCTGCATAAACTTCAAGGAAGGTTGTCGATTTGTCCTCCTGTAAAAAAATTATATAGACGCGGAGATTTTCAGACATTGCAAACGAGATATGTGATTGCGGACTTACACCGTCGATATTTTTGACGATGACGTCATCAACAAAGAAGTCATTAATTCGTTTCAAAACTCGCTGTTTTTTATTATTATTCCTTGATAGTCGAGACGTTCTGTATTTATTAAACCGAAATTGCCTGCAACTTCGATCTCTCAACGTCAAAAGTATGGTTGTTCATTCCCATACCTATTTTGGATGATGTTAACTTACTTTCAGGAAATTACTTACATCGGACACACGTGAATTCTACAGATATTTTGAGTACGTAATTCGAAATCACTAATATAATTGTCGCGGGCAAAAAGTGAATTCAGGCATTTTTATCAAATGCCTAGGCGGATAGTCAACTTTTAACAGTCTACAAAATTGTGTGAATTTATGGCGAAAAGCTCACGACTTTTCACTATTTTTGGAAAAATAACTCATCAAACCTATGAACTCTTTTTGTCTCTTCCTCTTCTATTGCTTCTCATATGTATTATTAAACGTTGAAACTCCAAAAATTTTTATATTACGACCTACTGAAAATTTCAAGATTAGTGACTCTTCAGGAGATAAATATTGTTTAAAATACTATTGTGTGTGTACATTTTTACTGAGAATTTTTTCTTGCAGGAGCGATGAATTATTTTGTCTGACATCAGGAAAAGAATCAGAATTTCAATCTAAGTTAAAATATTTGACTATTTGCCTAGGCATTTGACAAAATGCCTGATTTGGCTATTGCCTGCGACATAATCATACCGAAGTTTTGTCATTGAAGTTCATTTGACAAGGTTTGTGGAAGTTAGCCTCGGTATAACCAAGACCAGGGTAGTCCTCTGTCTTCGTGTTCGCATGGGTGCCACCAACGCCGACCACGTCACCAGAATCTCCACCCCAAACACGACCAACCGCATGGTTGAAAACGGCGTCCACATACACCCTGAGATAATTCAAAAAATAATTCATTCGAGTTAACCCTCTATAGCATAGATACACATTTTTAAAAGCAGCCCAAGACAATGGTAACAGGTGAAAAACAAGGGTGAAAAATGAGAAACAAGGCTGAAATACACAATTAATAAAAAACGAGACGTTCCGACTCAAGACTGAGTCATTTTCAGTCGGAAATACAATAACAATTTTAAAAAAAAAGATGAAAACCTGAGTCCTACATGCTGGTGGCCGGGAACTGAGAACCCCCATTTTGTTTTAATTTTTATTGTATTTCCGACTGAAAATGACTCAGTATTGAGTCGAAACGTCTCGATTTTTATTAATTGTGTATTTTAGCATTGTTTCCCGTTTTCCCCTTTGTTTTTCACCTGCCTCTATAACATAACGTTACGAATTCGTAACAACGTATTTTCGGGAAATTTCTTAAATTTTTTTGAATGATATTAAATCAAGAAAAACAAGTCCGAGGTTGCATATTTCGAGCTCCCATCTAAAACGCGCATCACCGAGAAACCTGATTATCAGGGCCGGATCAAGGAGGTGGCCACATGGGCCGCGGCCCATGGCGGCAAATTTTGCAATTTTTTTTAAATATTGGTACATAAAAAATCGGATGATGACGAGGACTTGAGATGAAAAGGACAAGCCCTCGGCGCGGCGGTCGGCATGTAACACATATTAGCGCCTACAAGACTGCATGAATACCTCACCCATTGCGCCAAACACAGTGCGGTCACGCGGTCAGGAGCGGTTGGCGTGAAACGCATAGCGCCTACAAGACTGTAGGAATACTTCACGCATTGCGCCAAACAGTGCGATCAGTGCGGCGCGGCGCAGCGGCGCGCGGCGGAAGTTAAAATTATTAAACCACATTTTTAAACCACATTTATGTTTGTTCTTTCATAATTTTTTGGTTCATTTCTTATAAATGGAGGATCTTGTCCACACAGAGATGGGTTTGTGGAACTTAACTTTCGCGTCAAGTTCCGTAAAATTTTGCCAGTAGTGTTGACAGGGCTTTCGCGAAAAAATGTATCCAACACGAGTAGGTAAACGCGTCTTATGCACCCTTCCCCCTCCGGCACGTTCACTTGATGGTTTTTATTGATGTTTCAAAACGAATGAGAAGGGGGCGGCAAAATATACAGGCGGTCTATGGGCGGCAAGTAGGTAAATCCGGCCCTGCTGATTATGGCATCCGGAATTACCCCTTTCGCTGCAATCTCCCTTTAAATCTGGCGGTGTCTCTGCCGCCCTCCATGGTCCGTGCATTCGTGTAATAATAACTAATGCTCGGACCATAAATCGCGCTAGCAGGGATGTTTTTAGACACCATCTTGACTTTCTCGGCAATGCACCTAGAAGAGGGCATTCAAAATTAGCAGCTTTGAACTCTTTTTTGATGCGGTTGATATCCTTGAAACATGATCAAAAAAATCTTGAAAATCAAAAGCCTACTCTAGTTTTCAAAAATAGAAGAAATATAAATCACTGAACACGCTCATGGTTTTCAAAAAAAGGTTAGGCGTCTGTTGGTCTATGACCTTCGGTCCACTGAATGAGACAGCAATAATAAGTATTTTTTCTGTCACTATTTTATGCTTTTCCCCTTTCAAATTCAAAAACATTTACCTAATGGGTGGCTTTCAAAATGCTGATCTAATAATTAATACTAAGACCACGGGGAAAAATTATAGTGCGTCTTAAAATTGCAGATTAAATAAGAAAAGTCACCGACTTCAGTGAAATGCGCCTATTTGATCTTTCATAGGGAATAAAAGGAGAAGTTATCTAACCTGACGTTGTTTTTGTTGCAAACCTCTACCATCTCCTTAAATTGCTGTTCATTTCCTTTCCTAGTTTGAATATTCCAAGACAGTGGTTGGTAAATTTCCCACCAAGGCCTTCTGACACCTCCACTCGATTGGACCAGCAAATTCTCGGCAATTGGCGCAACCTGCAAAGATTACGTTCATCTCAGTGAATGATTTTCAGTTAAGTATATTTTTGTTTTTAGGTTACTTAGAGTCATTGAGAATTCATAATTTACATCAGGGTAACGAGAAAAATCAGTGGTTATGACTTTTAAAGTGGTGTTGTAAGATATGAAATATTTTTAATACTCATGATAATTATAGGACTCTTATTTATGTATAGTTATAGCAAAATATTGGTTAAGTAAATAATCCCGTAATTGTAAAAACACCGCACAATTATTGGTCATGACTGCCATAAGTTAGAGCTCACAAGGAACATCACTACTTTGGGAGTCATAACCACTTTTTCTTCCTAGTATAATGAACTTACTCGAACAAGTAGTGGAAGATCACCGATCATTTCTGGGAGATTATGAAATTATTTTTACATTATATTAATTTTTTCTTTCTTCTTCATAGCTATGCTCTGAAATTGTTTTGCCAGAAATTTCGGGTTATATTCTCTCGACAAGTGAGTAGAGAGAGTAAATGCTAAACCACTGTTATCTCGGTAATTCTTTCTCTAGTTTCACTATTGATTTGAGATAAATAATTAATTAAAAGATATACCAGAACACGCTTATTATGAAGAATCAACAGTATATTTTCCGGAATGCATTTCGGCTAATAGCCATCTTCAGCACGAAAAATTCACAAAACACAAGAAAGAGCACTATATAAAGATAAAGATTTATCACAATGCATGTTAAAGACTATGATCAAAAAGCCAAGGCAAAGTTATAAAAAAATTCAACACAGACAAAAATGTGAAATCAATATTCAGGTGTGTTAATTCTTCATAATATGCGTGTTCCGGTACACATTTTAATTAACTATTTATCCCCTATTATTAAAACACGCAAGGTGCGATTCTTTAGTTATTGATTTGACTTAAAAAATATAGAAAATTAAAAAAATTAAAAAAAAATTAAAAACGAGGACGCACCAAAACACCTCCAAATTTCTGGGGGCCGAGGACATTCTTACACTCCTCTTTGATGGCGTCGAAAGGCCACTCGAACAAATGGACGATGACCCGCCTGTCTTCACTCATACTCGTGTCGAATTGACTCATCGTTGGGTGGAAAAAAATGACGAGCATAAAATAAACTGGTGCAAAGTCCATTTTCGTGGATTTTTCCAAACTGCCCCTATATTCAAAAAAAGGTACGTAATCTTACACAAAACATCCATAAGATAAAGCAGATAAAGAAGATGAGATGAATTCGCGTAGTGACTCTTTTAACAGCTCCTTTTCTTCAGGAGGTCTAACATTCCCATGACGAATATTGCTATCGCTAGCGATTGCAAAATCCAACTTGTTTTAAATTTCCTCTTTTGCTCATCATTGCTCATCATTTGCTCACCTCGAAAATCGCTTTCACTTTTTTTGCTGAGGCATGTACCCCCCAAAAATCGAACTTGAACTTTCAGAGAGGTCATTGACCTTAGCACCCCCACTTTGTCTGATTGACCTGAAAATGGTCTCAAACGACGCAGAATCATTTGCTCACCTTTGCTCAGCCCTTAGTTTTTGTTGCTCACCCCTCCGTCCCCTCCAAAATGAAAGGCGGCATTTTGGGGGACATCAATAGCAGCACCCCCACTTTGTCCAATTGAGCTCAAATTGGTGTCAAACGACGCAGGATCATTTGCTCACATTTGCTCAGCCCTTAGTTTCCGTTGCTCACCCCCACTTCCCCTCCGAATCGAACGGCGGCATTTTGGCGCACATCAAAGGGAGCGCACCGACTATGTTCGCAACCGCCATTCGTTTTCGGGAGGAGGTAGGATTCGGGCAACGGAAACGAAGGGCTGAGCAAAGGTGAGGAAATGATCCTGCGTCGTTTGACACCAATTTCGGCTCAATTGGACAAAGTGGGGGTGCTGCCTTTGATGTCCCCCAAAATGCCGCCTTTCATTTTCGGGGGGACGGAGGGGTGAGCAACAATTACTAAGGGCTCAGTGAAACACCGCAATGGAGATACGTAGTTTCGCACTTCAGTCAGTGCGATACGGACATCCATCAGGGTTAAATAGTTGCATCAAGTCCCCGTCACCGCCGACCAACGCGCGTGTCGATCGAATCAACTACAGTTAGTATGAGCAGGGAGTCAAAACGCCTTCAATTTTTTGAACGCAATACGGACATCCGTCGAGGTTGTATAGTTGTATCAAGGCGCCGTAGCAAACTGTCCCATTCTTTATCGATACTGACCAATATAAATTGAGAGAGGAAAGTCATAATTCCTTCAGTTTTATGCATGCATATTTTTTGGGCAAAATGAGAGACGACGTTTCTCTATTTGCGACGTTGCAGACTTCCTTAGAAATTTTATTTTTCTTTCGAGAAGCTGGTCAACATAAAACTTAAATTCTCCATGATTTTTCGTATTCGATAGCAGAAGATTTGGTTCAAAATTTAAAGTCGTAAATTCGGATTGTTTCTCATCGAAGAGATGAAAAGAGAACGCAATGGAGATACGTGGTTTCGCACTTCAGTCGGTGCGATACGGACATCCATCAGGGTTAAATAGTTGCATCAAGTCCCCGTCACCGCCGACCAACGCGCGTGTCGATCGAATCAACTACAGTTAGTATGAGCAGGGAGTCAAAACGCCTTCAATTTTTTGAACGCAATACGGACATCCGTCGAGGTTGTATAGTTGTATCAAGGCGCCGTAGCAAACGGTCCCATTCTTTATCGATACTGACCAATATAAATTGAGAGAGGAAAGTCATAATGCCTTCAGTTTTATGCATGCATATTTTTGGGATCCCTGAGAGAAAAGACTCTGAAATTGATTCCCTCCTGCAAATATTGCTCTAGTTGTGAGGAAAATCTACGCCTCTTTCAAAAATATAAAACTGAACCGGAGTTATACCGCTACTAAAAATTTGCTATGCCAAGAAAACAAGTTATTAAACATTTTGATCCGTCATGTTCAGGATTAAAATTGCAGAACTATAATGTAAATTTAGGCCCTCTGTTTACACGGGAGAAATGAAACCGCTCTCAACTTATTCTTTTGGGCTTTATCCCAATTAGCACAGGTTGCAATAAACTGCAATTGCATGGTAACATTATATTGCTACTAGTGTTGTGTATGTTGTCAAGCTGCCGATTGAAGGTACACGTTTTATTTAAATTGATTGCAAATCGAATTGAAATAATTTGCAATTTTTTATCGCACTGCATATCGTCTTCCTTTCTAACACATGGAACATACATTGTTGATTGTTTCAAATCGGCATTCATTGACCAAAAGGTGTAAAAATATTTCAATATCATGGTGGAACAATTTCAATTTTATTGCAATAAATCGCTCTTTTGTTTCAATCAATCCCAATATGCTACTTTGGATCGATAGTTTTCACTCGAAATGTTTAAAGCTAATTTTTCAATAACCCATGCAACTCGGCACAAATAGTCCTACTGTCGTTTGCCTTCGCCAATAAAATATTTTTCCTCGGGAACGGTCACAAAACTGATTAGTAAAATAAATGAACTGGTAGAATAAAACTTACCTCAAATGGAAGAAAGTTGATTTCAGTATGACTGGTCTGAGACAGGGCTAAATTATGAGATGTGAAGATTCATTGAATCCTTATCACTACTGTAGTAATTGTTTTCACTCGCGTCGAATACCGATAGCGCGAGCTTGCACGTGGAATTTCCGAGTAAGTTCATGGATAGAGATCAGTCACTTATTCACTAATCACTTGTGAACATTTATCTAAAAATGAAATTACTGAGGCATCGTTTGATTTCGTATGACGCGCGGTCTCGATCGATGAGGAAATTAGTCGGTCAATAATTATGAGTCAAGTGTTTGGGTCCCGATATTCTGCAAGCAAATAAAAAATGTAGTCTCGGACTCGGACAAAGAATGTTATGCCTCTTATCAAAGCGGGTGTTTTTGCATGAGAGAGTTTTGAGTAATGCCATTATCAGCCGTCTTGAGATAGACACAAGCGTGGAATCCGTGGGAAATTTACTGGCTTTTATTTTTTATCGTGCCCTCAAAATATATGTAACGAGCACTGTTTCAATACCAACAGAGTTGTAAAGAACACTATACTGCCGTGCTAAGGAAAAACGCCGTATGAATATTCGAGAGGGGCCTTCGATAAACTGTTGATTTTTGAGGAATGTTATGAATAATATGCCTTGACATTTTCAGGAACTTTAGGTTGAAATTATCTGAAAAATTGAAAGGAAAATGTTTACAAATTTTTCCGAAAATTCGCGATTTACCAAAGGAAATTATGCAACACTTGAAGGTTCATACGATGTTTTTTCCGTGGCACGGAAGGGGGCAATCAACACACATATAGCGATGTTTAAGACCAATTTGAGTTCAACGATTTGTTTAAATAGATGCAGAATACTCAAAAGTGACCTCAGTGTCACCACCGAGCGAAAAACTGATCAGATTTTATCATTTACGCATTCAGTCTTATGCAAAGCGAAGCTAAAAATCCTTCAGAATATACGATATGCAACAAATCTCTAGCCGCAACACTAATTGCATCCTTGTAATTGAAGGCTGTTAAAAATCACACTTTTACGGGCGCTATGCGGTAACTAGCAATATTTTTGACGATAGTCAATTTCCACCCCTTGATGTGAACGTAAAGAGCTTCCAAAACATTTCAACATAAAAATTTCCGCTTCACGACAAGTAAAGATTGAACCAGTTGTTGATTTTGATACAAAAAGAAGGGAAAATGAGAACACTCGTTTTTTTCTCTTTAATTTCTTTAATGTAATAACACAAAATAATGCTGAAAATTACATTTACTAACAGTAAGATGATAAACAAGAAACAATATTACAATAATAATACCTAATAATAATAATAATAATAATCATGAAGTACCTAATGATGATTAAGACAATAATAACAATCAAAATGATGGTGAGTCGATGATGATAAAAACAAAGATGACAGCAGTATTGACTATATGTATTCATGACATCATAATCAAAGACCTAAAGTAAAAAGAGACACAGTAACATTACAATACTTTACTGAGATATCTAGGGTCAAAATTTACAGAAGAAGAAAATTGATGCATTCGCTTTGGAACTTTATTCTACAAAATCTTGAAAAGGGGAGAAAGTACAGCTAGTTATTTACATGCACAGGTCTTTTAAAACTTTGAGATGAGTATTATGTTCAGGGAATTATAAATCAAAATTACTATTTACATGAAGGAGGAAAAAAATTCAAACTAAGCTGCAGAATTTTTTTTTTCGTAAGTCTTGCATAAATGAGTAAAGAAATGCTCTCCATTCAGAGCATGATCCTGCGAAGATTAAGAAAAAATACCCACACCGACTACTCTATATTTTCCAAAATAGATTAAAAGATTTGAATTTTGGTAGAAAATGGCCATATAAGTAACTTTTTATTAAGTAGCGTCAAAGTTATTTGTAAGTTCTCGGGGCCAGATTGGTGAGTTTTTTTCTTTGAATGTAATTTTGTAATGAATGATTGATTGAGCTGCGAAAGAAAGAGAGAGAGAGAAAGTAGGAAAAATAACGCTGGGAAATCTGAATGACAATGAGTTATGTGTTGTAAGGATATAGGGAGCACATTTACTTAGAAAACTCCTAGTGTACTCATTGGAGCTCTGAATAAATTTTAAATTATTTCTCGACCGTATATAGTTTTGTATAAAAAAAATCCTCTGAGAAAAAATAATAAAACTTTTGATTTGTAATTTTATTGGGATCCCCATTGATTAGGTATCCATTTTCCACTGTTTGCAGAGTGCCAAAATAATGTGTGGTCAAGAACCATATCTTTATTCATACGTCAGAATACTGAATTTATTACAAAAGATACCGGTCAGAGCTTTAAAATATTGATTTAGGGGCACGGCAATCCGGCAAAAACTTTGAAACTACTCAATAATGCAACTGAAAAAAAAAACTATTTTTTTTTCCTCAAGCAGCTGTTACAGTTGGATATAAGAAAAACTTCTAGGACAAGATAAAAGACACTAAATAATGATCTTGATATTTCAGATGAATACTGAAAAATACCTTAATTTATTAATGGATCTCATTCAGGGTCAACTTTACAAAAAGCGTACAGTGTACAAAAATTTACACTTTCATATACATTTTAAACAGAGCATAATAGTTTGCTGATTAAGTTCTCTCTACGAAATGTAAAAAGAAGAAATCTCGTCTGGAACGAGCAAAATTTCACCTAAGTAATTAGTTTAACTGAGATCAGCGGGACAGGAAAAAAGTATGAATACACAAACGCTTTGGCGGATTCAGCGAATTAGTAACATTGCTTTTCTGCATTTATTCGTATGGAAATGTATCGATTCTCATAGGGGCCAGGTGCTCCGACAAGAATCGGTTATTTAACATAGGTTTAAATGGAGGGCATCCGGTGCTGCCAAATTGCTGGATCCGTCTCTGCACAAACGCATCGAACACAACCTAACGCGCAGTTTGTTCTTTTTACAAAAGTAAATTCATAACGTAAGCCTCATTACCAGATCGGGTGATACTCAAACTTGTCCCAATATCTCTGAGAAATCAATCACCGAACGTTCCAGAGGGAGAATCAGTAGCGTGGCGTGAATTTCGATACATCGATTGTTATGCCATTTAAACCTATGGAAAAGGATCGATAGACCGGGTGTTCGCAGCGAACACCTTAATAATTGATTCTTTACCATCAGTTTAAATGGCATAACAATCGATACATCGCAATTTGCGCCACGCCACTGGGGAGAATATGAAAATTCTAAACATTTAGGGTTGTGTTCATAGTCGCATTTTGAACAGCTCCTTCCTTAGAAGACCCCACATAGTTCACGTCGTGATTAAGGAAAATTCAAGGGTATCCTAAACATAGCATCATAAAAGCGACACATTTTGCAAACCTTTAATAAAATTCAGCGAGATGAATTCAGAAAAGGAGCCTAGAAATGGACTACAATAAATTACCACTATAAGAAATACAAAATATTGAAGAAAATATTCATACTGGTAGATGTAAGTGTAGTAAATTTTAAGGTTCAAGTTCATATCTAGGTACCTTAACGTTTGTTAAAAATATAGGATTTTTTCTTCCGTAGGTATTTTGTACTCCTTGCGGTGGCAAACCATTGTAATTCCACACAAGGATCCCTTTCCAAGGTTATACTGCTGAATTTTACTCGCGGTTGGCAATAATTCTTCTTCTTTTTATGACACTTTTTGAGGACCTTTTAAACCTCTTGTAATTACAATGTAGACTTATGGAACCTCTAAAGGAAATGAGCTGCTGAAGAACGACTATAAATACGACCTCCAATGTAGAAAATTCAAGGGACTGTAGAGATTTCCAATCTGGCTGATTCGTTAAAACTGACTTACACAAGTAAAAAATAAAAAATTAAAATAAAAAAGACAAAAAATGCCTGTCGGCTTTGACCGGTTTCAACTCATAAATACAAGAGGAAGATACAAATTTACAAATAAATATTGATAATTAAGAATCCTAAAAGGTTTGAAAGAGCTATTAATACGATAACAAGGAATATTATTTGCACCGGCTAAGAAGCTTACAACATGATCATGACAATCTTTCGTCCACCCTTCGTGGTTTGAAAAATCTGTTGAGTATAGTATATTAAGGAAACTCTCAAATAGTAATACATTACCAAGAGTTTGTAAGATGTCTAACTAATGTCTATTCAGTCAAAGAAAGAAGGCAACCATCAACTTTAACTAATTGCGCTATCTCAATAATTTTTTACCTTGGAAATTGCTGATACTAATTCATTCAGAGCGTATTCAGGAAAATCTCCTTGCCCTTTCAGGTTCTACCAAGCTAAAAAATCGCAAGTCTCTTTTTCTGTACCAACAATCCATTGACAAAATGAAAGGAAAATGAAAAATTCTTACCGTTCATTTTAGAACTGACCCCAAGGTTTTCAATTTTCCCCTTTGAGCTAGGAGCCTTCATTTTCCCGACTTGCCTTAGTATCACGTAGACACATAATTCATTGCTTCGGTACCTACCTTCAAAAGTATAGAATTGAAGCGCAGTTTTCAAAAATGAAAAAAATCCCATTTGAGTATACCGAAGGTATCACATGCAGGAATTTTGTCAAAGTTGATGCTTACCGAACAGTCCGCGGTACTATGATTAAACAAAAAAAAAGTCTTGACCCTTTGATCGTTAAAACCAGGCCTCCTTTTAATCCAGGCCTGTTCTTTACAATTTTTTGCTCTCCCAATATCACAAAAAAATATCACTAGCAGGATAAGTAAAATAGAATACAACACATTACGCTACTTATGAATAGTAACAGTGGCACACATTATGTCATTGCAATATTTTGGCGTGAAAACTTGACTTCGAAGTACACTTTAGAAATGCTCCAATTCTTAATTGATGGAATTAAATTAAGAGGACAACTATTCTACTCCATGTTTTTACTGGAAAATTGAATATAATTAGATAATACTGTATGATCATCTTCAGATTTTTATAGTTGAAAACAATTATCTAGAATGTTTCGTAAAAAAAATTAAATCAACAATTTGTTTTTATGAATTTCGCAAACTGTTTTGTTAAATTTCATAAAAAATTTTGCTTTACTCAAAGGCCAAGCCTACATTCCATCTCGATGAATACGTCATTTTACGTGCAATTCTGCGTCGAGGAGGATATTTTTGATGATTTTGTTCTTCAAGGAAATAAGACGCCGTGTAGTAGGTATATTTATAGTTCTAGATTTGTCGTCTCAATCAATTAATTAATTAATTATTGGATTTCCTCCTTCATTTTGATCTTGTGTCATAAAATAGAGAATGCAGAGTAAGAAGGTAAATGAAAGCCTCTATTTTGTGGGTTCTGCTTTTAAAATTGAAGAATTATTACAAATTTTCGTATCAACTCTATCTTCAAAACGTGTTTCGACAAGATAATTTAAAGTAATCTATCAATACAGTATCAAATACAGCCACCATGACCTTGTTTTCAGTATGACACGAGAGCCTATTCAGATTATCATTGGAGTTAAAAAATAGATTTTCCAATCCCAAAAAAATAGAGAAGGTTAAACACTTGTGGAAAAAATTTAAAGTCTACAAAAAATTGTAGAGCAACGCGGAGTTTTCTTCTTCAAAAGTTAGAGAGTTCCCTCACGGAGAGACACAGTTCTTTAACATTTTAATGATGTGATTATGGGCACTATTCTTAGAAATCAATAACGCAGATTAACTATGATATCAGCTATTACATTTGGGAGAGGATCATTGGAATTTTTTTTTAAAAAACAAAAAAACCTACTAAAGTTCAAAAATCTACTTGAATTTCATTTAATCTAAATCTTCGGAATTCACGTCGAAATTTGGCGAGCCTCCTGGTGAAAAGGACATTATATCCGTGGGTGTGAGGGAGCCATCAGGAGGGTATCCGAAATTAGGGCCTCCAGATCCTGAGGGACTTCCTTCCCCTTGGCACCAAACTTGTCTCATTTCGATTCGTCTCTGCCGCATCAGGTTTTTGTATTCTGTTATCCTCAGCTTCTTCCCGTCGACGATACAGATGCGTTTGGGTTTGGGTTTGTAGCGGTAGTCGGGATACGTCTCCATGTGTTGTTTCGACAGCCGGGACTGTTCCTCGTAATATGGCTGTTTGTCTGCGTTAGACATGGACCGCCATTTTGCACCTTGAGACACAATTTCAGCATTAGTAAAATATTGCAAGTTTCGTCGTGTGAAAGATCGATTGGAAGATTATTTTAGAGGAAAAACTGAATCATGCATCGTGACAAACATTAATCCATTCATATTCAACGGAGACTTTAATGCAAAGTAGAAAAATAAGCGCATCGCGGAAACGGAATACAGCACATACATCATACATCATCATCATCATCATAGTATGTAGAGTAATTCAGATTGTAGAGTATAAGTATGATGCATGTGCTGTATTCCGTTTCCGTGATGCGCTTATTTTTCTACTTTGCATTAAAGTCTCCGTTGAAAATGAATGGATTAATGTTTGTCACGATGTTTGATTAAGTTTCCCAGTTGTAATGTTCCAGGCAGTTATTGATACTATTAGTCTGGGTCCATTAGGAAAATAGGAAGTTAATTTGAATCGCACTCAGTACACTGTGTATCAAGTCAATAGGAAAGGTCGGACAAAATTTGGAAACTTTCAAAGTTTATAACTCCATTTACATACAATTTTGAGGTTCTAAAAGTGGTTCCCTTGGTTTCCTCGTAAAATTTTCTACTGGAAGCAGCCCTTTAAATTTAAAATATGACGAAATAAACATCAAAATTTGCAGTTTTAGTCAAAAATTTCATGTCTGACCTCTCTAATTGATTCGATTCACTGTGCGGCACCACTCCCTAAAATATGGCAAAACTTAAATGAGATGATGGAGGAAACGAGACTCGGGCCTATAGACTTTTCGGTAGAATCAGATTGAGACTGATTCAGAGCTCATCTCATCAGTGATATAGATTTTGGTGATTATCAAAGAAATTAGGTGGTTACTCCCCCTGACCGCTTCTCAGTTCAACCCCCCGCGACTCGGGCGTTATGATGTGGTACATGTTACTCTTATGATTTTATATTATAGAGTAAGATGTGAATTTGATCGTCATGGAAAAAGTCCACGCATATCCAAAACTCCATACCAGGGTATATAAAAAAAGAATGATCCCAGATTATTTAAAACTCTGATTTGATATATTCAGGGTACGAAAGCATCCGGCGAAAAAGTAACTTTGCCTTGTCTTTTGTCTCACAAATGAACTAAGGAAGCCGCTTGCAACTTGTTTTTTGGGACATCGAAAAGAATTTTGCGTAAAAATCTAGTAATCCGATTGTCAATTATCACTGAATACATATAAAAGGTTTTCCCTTTATTCAACATAAAGTATAAACGCAACGAAGAAGCAAGTAAGAGTCCGCTCAAAAGGAACTCCTTCAATCCGTGATGTAGGCAACATATCACTCTTGTCAGCTCAAACTGAAGGTATGAAATAATCAGATTAATTTAGGAATAATGGCAGCAGTTGCATCGATTGATCGGCCGTTTAAACCCATGGAAAAGGATCGATGTACGGGGCCGTATGTACCATACAGGTAATTTAGAGAGAAAGTCGTATGAACCCAAAATATAGGTGCCAGCTGTGAGATATTTCACATGATTAATCTGAAAAAAAAAAAAAAAATGCAGATAAACGTGAAAAAGTCAAACTTACCTAGAATTTTTGATATATTTGAATTGTGCATGTCTGGATGAGCCTTTAGAATTTTTCGGCGTTCGTCTTTAGCCCAAACCATGAATGCGTTCATTGGCCTTTTAATATGCTTATTTTCGCCGTCTTTTTTCTGTTGTTTGACCATTTTCACTGCAAAGAACGACAACACAAGTCAGTAGGATAGCAAAATACACAGAACACTAAACCCTAACATTTTAAATGCAGCTAAATTATTTTTTTGCCACTAAAAATTTTAAATACAGCTACCAACATGTTCAAATAAAAACATTAAACGTCATAAACTGGAAAAATTAAATAATTAATTAAGAGGAGGCTTGTGTTCAAAGAGCTTTTTTACACTACCTCGTCAATAGGCGGTTGAAATTAAAAACTGGATGGAGAGCAAAATTATTACAGTTTTAGAAAATGCAGGAAAATATGGAAATTTCTTGAATTTTAATTCTTTAAATTTAAGGGCAAGGGATGATCCAACAGTAGGAAGGGGGAACAAGACCTACTGTAATATTTCAGGAATCTCTAAAACAATGTTTTTCCCCCTCCCGCAGATAGTCCCTGTATTACATCTATTTATGATCCTTCTCTCATATTTATTTTCCTCTCTTTTCAAAAAATCTCTGAAGATTTATTTTGAAGTATGGAGGAAACACAGTATATTTTTGTACAGAAATTTTTTCAAGCAGTCTTTTGTCAAGCAAATCCTATGTTAGCAGAAATTCTGATAAGTCTAATAGAATCGTAAAACTTACGCTACTTCTTTGAATGTCAGATTAAGAAACACCCACACACACAAATGAAAAGAACACCCGTCAAAAAATGTATGAGATTTTCGTAATTTTATGAAGGGAATACTCCTGAATGATTGGAGTCATCATTTTTAAAAGTATTAATTTTTGAGTTGATCTGTTTGAGATACGAGCAAAGTATTAAAGTGCTTACCTTTATCACTATTTTCCTCTGGAAGCTTAAAACTAGATTCAGGTCCCCACACTGTAATCAAGAGATAATACAGATCATATTAGTACATTAAGTATTGTATGTATCGGATAACTGTGCTCCCTTACTGTACTTGAAAATGAAGAACCTTATCATCGTAATAAAAAAACCTAAATACAAAGCGCTTTCAATTTATTTTTATAAAAACAAATCGGAACTAAAATAAATCAATCCGACTAATAATTTTGCAGAAATCAGTGAAAAACTAGTTCAAACAGGCAAATCGCGTATGTTTCACGAACTAAAAATGGTTTCCCTTAATGAATATAATATAAGGCGAAAATTTCACAATTTTGCACGCTAATACGCACGATTTCCTTGTTTCACCACCAAAATTCATTCTCTTCCAATGTTTGATATCAATGAACTCACTGATTAATAAAATCTAGTTTTTTTATGTAATTTCAGATAAGTAATGTAAAGTATTCAAACGATCATAACTACTAATAGTTTGCAGGCCAAGGTTAAAGACAGTTCAGTCTTAAAACTTGAAAACTTTGTTCTTGTTAAATGGGATTCAGATGCCTGTGTTAATTAGGTACCTATATTCTAGCCTCAGCCGAGAAAATTTGTCAAGCTGCCAAGCCAGATTTCATTTAGACGGCCCAGAACAAGACCTATAAATTTTGATACACTCAGAGTGCACCGACTGGTAAGAACCAAACACCTGGACTCAATTTTCGCAGCATTAAACCTAAAGTTACTGCATTTCTTCGCTTTTTTCCTAAAACTAGGGTGCAATATATCATCATAATCACGCTCGCCTAATGATGTTAATAAAAACTGAAATTTGTTGAGCAAGTAAGACTTTCATAAATAAATGGAGGTACCGGCGGCAAACATGAATTCAGTCAGATTATGTTGTTCTAATTTCTCGCACGCCTTCTGAGGATATTTTCCTCGTAAGTTATGTCCATTTTGGGAATTTTATTGTTTACTTAAGTCAAGGAGTGGAACTTACAGTGACTCATGAAGCTTTGATCTTCTTTGGCGTCTTCTCGCTCCCTTGAATTTTGTGGTGGAGGAGGGTACAGGTGTAGTCCTTGATACGGAGGTAATTTTTCTCCATCCTTGTTTGGAGATAAACCTGATTTGCCTGAGGAAGGGAAAAGAATCAGTAAATCATCATGAAAGGTTTACGCATAGTAACCATAACATAATAAGGGGGAAGAGAGAAAACAATTTTTGTGTCAGAGAGAAGAGGGGGTTATGAAGTGGTTCAATTCTGATTCCCCTTTGAAAACGAAGATTTTTCAGGGAATACAGGCAGAAATGGACTTCTTGTTGCTGAAACAACAGCGAACTATTCGATCTAAAATAATACTATACACTAGTGGTAATAAAATTGAAAAGGGCGCCATGGGTAGGAAGTAAATTGACATTCTTATGCCTCTGAATAGGTAGGTATGTAAATATAGATAAATATAAAATATGGATAGAACATAAATATAGATTCATTCATGTATACATTCTTACCTAGCCAACAAGTGCCTACCAAAATTATTGATTGTTAATTGGAAAACATGTATTTGAAGTTCGTTTTCTCGATAAAAAGGTCCTGACGATGGCGACTATGCCAAAAAGCTTCGACCAAAAACTATATCAATAAAACCATTTTATGTAAGAAAACACTTGCACGTTTTTTAGCACTTTGGCTACATACCTACCTAACAAATTTCAGTAAATAGACCGCTGGGGTGCACTCCTAATGTAAATGCTTGAGACAGGGTTGCAATTTTTCATGAAGAGTAAAATCTTGAAATTTCAGAAATTTATGAAATATATGGACGTATTTCTGCCAAACGGAACTAAGCACCAATTTGAGTTCCTTTTGAGGAATTTAGAATCCTGTACAGCGCATTCTGTCAAACGGAACTAAGCGCCATGAAATAGCATTGCGAGTATAGGCACTAATGAGCCCGAACGCCCGGTTCCGCCGCCAATCCAAGCCCTCCTCTACCTTCCTCCCCCGATGGCGCTTAGTTCCATTTGACAGAAATACGTCCACATTGAAAAACACCGGTTCCTTTTCATGTTTCGCAAAATGTGGAAATTGTGACTTTCCTCTATTTTTGTGTGCTTTAGTACGGTTTGCATACTCTAGCCCCTGAAAAATTTGGAATATTTCACAGCCTCGTGAAATTTCATGAAATATCTCACGGAAATTTTAAATCTTTCATATTTTTCATTTAACCTGTGCAACCCTGGCTTGAGATAATTGTAGATTTTTAAGATGGAACTTACCAGAGGATCCGGCATGGTGAGGAGGTAGGCCGACGTAGGGGGGCAGAAAGCCCCTCGGCATGACCAGACTGGAAGGGAGGAGTTTGGGGGTGTTGAGGGGCTCCCGGAGGGAGGGCGAGGGGGGATGCCGCTCCCTGGGTTCCTGCGCGGGGGCGGCCGGGTGGTGGCCCCTGGGCGACGAGGGCGAGGGGCTGTTCTTTGGTTTGGAGAGGTTGAGGGGGGCGTCCGGGTCGGTGGGCGCCGGCGCGGGGGCGGGCGCTGGGGCCGGGGGGCACGGGGGGTTGGGCGTCCGGGGCGGCTCCTGCGGCGAGGAGGGTGGAGATCTGCCCGCGGGCCGCTGGAGCTGCGGCAGCGTCGGCGAAGACGAGAGCTGCGACATCCAACTTGGCATTGACGGTATCAGCTGCAAGAGAGAGGCGAGCGGTTAGTATCGCAAAGGTATACATTGGCGGATCCAGCAAATTGGCAACACTGTCTTTTCTCCATTTAAACCTATGGAAATGTATCGATTCTTGGAGATGCCAGGTGCTTCGACATGAATCGATTACTCAGCATAGGTTCAAATGGAGGAAATCCGGTGTTGCCAAATTCCTGTATCCGCCTCTGAAAGTAAGAAGGGAGGCAATCGAAGAGGATGCCTGATTGGGTTCCTCTTCGGGGAGACAAAAGGACACCCAGTGAAAAAGTGGCGACAGGGGGTTTTAAAAAAGATCTATAGACCTAGAGTCCTTTATGGAGAGAGTTGAGACAACGTTGCTTATGGATGTCACAACCCAAGTAGCAGAGGTTGCAATAACTTGCAACAAAATCGTTTGATTCTTGCAACTAATAGATTGATGTGCAGATTGCCTACTCTCTCCCCCGAAGGAGCTATCATTGTTGGAACTAGTTGCTATTAAGTTGAAACATGTTTCAACTTCAAAGTATTGCTGGTTGCCTATCTTTAGATTTTAAACTTCGGTTCAGCAATTTTGCAATCTCAGCAGGCTGCAACTTTGTCTTCCGATCAGATCGCCGAAAATCGGCACTTATCGACCAAAAGTTGACCGAAAGTTGAAACTTTGTTGCAACTAATGCCAACACTGTTTCAACTTGTTGCAACTTTTACATTGACTAATGCTACTTGGGAGGCAATCGAAGAGGATGCCTGATTAGGTTCCTCCTCGGAGAGACGAAAGGACGCCCAGTGCAAAAGTGGCGACAGGGGTTTTTAAAAAAGATCTATAAACTTAGAGTCTTTTATGGAGAGAGGTGAGACAAAGTTGCTTATGGATGTCACAAACGGGAATACAGATTAAATAAATCGGACGTTTTATGTAATCCTTGGTCAGAGACAAGACACCCTCCACTGGTATCTGGCCATTGTGGAAGCTTTTACTTTTGGACCTTCAGAATTCTACTGCTGACTTACCTACATGATTGATTTTCAACAACGTGTTGACAATTTCGTTTTGCAAACAAGCCGATAATGGCCGACGTTTGGAAAACTTATTTGGCTCATGAAGTCACCCGAAGCTCATCATTGACCATGTAGGTAAGTCAACAGCCGAAACTAGGGTGATGGCTGTTGCTCCCTAATAATTGTCCATAAGGAATTGTTGAAACTCCGAAAGTGAAAGCTTCCACCTGTCGCTAGGAGGCCAGTGGAGCGGTCATACTCTTGTAGAAAATTGTATTTTTCAGAGTATAATTACTTAAAATGAAAAATGAAAATGAACTTACTGGAGATGCTGAACTAGATGGTGTGAGCGCTGGCATATTATTATTAGCACCAGGAGGTAAGCCTCTTAAATGATCCAGAAATGGAAGAAATAACAGTGACTGCGGATTTGGGTACTGACTTGATATTTGACTCTGTAGGAAAAAAAAATTATTTGGTTAAACATGATAGGAGGAGCACACTGTAAGTAAAGCAATCTTAAAACAACCAATATTGAGTTAGAAGGAAGTATTGTTGGGGTTTAAAAATGACGGAACTCCGTTCATTTCACAGGCATGTTGAAATTAAAAGCCCATTGACAACTTTGACTGTGAAAAAAAGTAAATTTATAACATTATTTCGTACATTTTACTTTCTTTTTTTCGGGCGAAGAGGAATTTTCAATCATTTAATTTCAAATCTATACATACCCGGGTATCACTATATTCTCTTTCGTGCATGAGAATTGAAGAGAAGGGGGAGGGAAGAGGGAGAGATACAGATGAGAGTAAAGTAAAAGAGAGAGTAAAGCATAAGAAAAAAAATCTTAAAAGCTCACCTGAAGTTCTTGAATTTTATGCTGTTGAAGGAGATAATCCTGCTGCATTTTGAGCCGGTCTTGGTGCAGCTTGTGAAGGTCTAATTGTTTTTGAGATTCTAAAGACATCTGAAACAAAGTAAACAAACTTGTAAGCCTTCGCTCGATAAAAAATTTTTAACGGGCGCTTGCATGCATGCGCTCGTAAAATCCATTTAAATTACGACCACAAGTTGATCAACGCGTTGCAAATGCAGACGCGCACATAAGTGTACCTCCTCCCTCCTCCCCAGACGTACATTACTAGCGCCACACTTACATCCTCCAGCAACAAATGTAAACCCCACGTCAAAAACTGGGGGTGCGTCAGACGCCGTTTGTTCTCGCATGTCAATGACTAAAGTCGAAGAATGCCTATCTCAGGGTAATTCTAAACATTAACGGATCAAGCAAATTGCAACATTGATTTTTCTCAATTTAAACCTATGGAAATGTATCGATTCTTGGATTGGTCAGTGCTCGATAAGAATCGATTATTCAACATAGGTTTAAATGAGGAGCCGGTGTTGCCAAATCGCTGGATCCGCCTCTGGCTCGGCGGGCGGTGGGGCGAACAGCTGATCATAACTCACAGCGGGCGGTAGGAGCATTGGCGCACAGTGGATCGAGTCAATTAGAAAGGTCAAAAATGAATTTTTTTTACTAAAACCGCAAATTTTAATGTTAACTTCCTCACATTTTTAACTATGTGGGGTGCTTCTTGAAGAAAATTTCACGAGAAAACCAATCGAGCCACTTTTAATACTTCAAAATTGTGTTTAGATAGAGTTACGGCCGTTTAAAGTTTCCAAATTTTATCCGACTTCTCCTATCGACTCGATCCGCTGTGCGGCGAGGCGAAAACCGAAAATCGCGCTCTGCTAAATTTACCCGGGCCGCGGGCCAAGATGCACCGGTCCCGGCCCCTGGTCCCCATTCATAGCGCCCCAGGACCCCCGCAAANCCCCCCCCCCCCTTCGAACGGGATGAATGCAGATGCGCCGCGTTGTGTGGTTCCGCCGTGAAGTGTGGTTGCTCCTCAAGCGGCGCCCCCTCTCTTCCACCCTTGCCGGGTGTTCTCCTTCTTCTTTCTCTTCCTTTTCGCGTGTTTTTTGAATAAAAATCCCGCGGGCGGCGCATCGCCACGCGGCGATGAGAATAACATCCTCTTGCGTTGACACTTGTCGGCGCGTTGCCGGCCAGGGCAGGACCTTATCGCATTCTTCATGAATTGGATTACATTTTGCAATAAGGAACATACTTAATCATACTTGATCTCTGGCTCTCTTATAAAATCACATATCTGCATGGGGAAACCAATGGCATGTATGCTGTTTCTAAAATGGGCCAGAAATAGTGGTTCCTTATTGCAAAATGTAGTCCAATTGAGGGGCCTGGAGGACAATGCGCTTAAGTAAAGTTTTTCAAAAAAACGAGATATTAATGAAATCAAGTAAAGCTAGTCGTAATACGTGTGCTGTGAAAAGTTCGCCCCCAAATTCCAATTTTTAAGCATCTAAAAGTCAGTTTGAACTTTCTTTCCGCCATGAGAATCCATGCAATTTAGGAACTTCACTGGATAAAAAACACATTGAATCTGGAGTCTAGACTCTTGAAAACATTGATAAGAAAAAATACTCTTGGTTCAATCGGATTTTTGCTTGAATCAAAACGAAATCCGATAAAATTAAGAGGCTTGGTTCTTGATTTAAGCTAGATTCTGATTGAACCAAGAGTACTTTTCTTGTCGATGTTTTTAAGAGTTTGGACTTTAGATCCAAAGTGTTTTTTTTTCCCAGTGTTCAAACACGTATCTCTTGAAATAGAAAAAACTGCACTCATGCGCCGTCAAACTCCTCAACTCTTCTGTTAAAAATTAAATACTTTTTTTTCATGCTAAAACGCGATCCAGTCGACTTCGAATCTACTCTTGAATCAATTTTGTCTACTTACAACGAGTTACTTGACAATACCCAAACTGGAATAAATTCACAAGTCTCCTCTGCTTCATTTAGCACTTGAAAACCGATTCAAACAACGGGAAGTTCCGAAATCAACCCTTGCACTAGATATTTGCATACATTTTAGAACAAGAAAAAACACTAAGAAACAAGGCCTGAACTATGTTGAACTTTTTGAGCTATTTTTGAAATTTTTTGCCTTGTTTTCCCCAGAAAATGGCGTGGACCTATCATTATTTTACCACTTTGTTGCATATATTTTAGTAGAGATCAAATGGTAATTAAAGTTAGATTATACAAAATACGTCATTTGTAGTTTTAGCCCTGGAATATCAGCTTGAGATCATTGTTATTTGGATTTGAGGGATCCTTAATTCCTTTGTAAAATTTCTCAAAGAATATATTCACAAATGTAGGAAACATATATGTTTGTATTGTGTACCTGCTTGAGTAAGGTTGCATATGAGAAGTGTGGTGACATTTTTTTTACCGAAAGAAACGTTCTTGATTGGAGCTATGTCAGATCAAAATTGCAGAACTTGCTAACAACGTTAATTGCTAACAGCATACACGTCCGAGGTATGCACGCTATGCATATTATCATAAATCACGAAACATGAGAGACGCGATGTAAAAAAGTCATCGGGAAAAAAATGCGGAAAAAACGAAAAACCCTAGTGACGATGAATTTGGAAACCAGGTGCGCATGGTCGAAAATCTAGACGAGGACTAACAATAAGTAACCAACGCATAAACGGCAGATCCTTGGTGACAAGAATCAGAGTGATAACATGATGATAATAGATCGAATCTCGAAGAGTGACAATGAACTTATTGCAGAGCAAACAACACGCAAACAATATGTGTCATAGTCCGATCAATTCGACTGATCAGTCACCAACAAGCATTTGAAAGAAGCTTAATCTTGTCGAGAACCCTTGCAGGTGAGTGAACCGAGTCCAGGTGAATCAAAACACATCAACGAAATACAGGAAAGTTGAAAGAAACTATGAATGAACAAAAATGTGGGCTTTGTTTACACCGCAAAACGCAGACACGTGGATTAAGATCGATTGTTCCTGATTTGAGGCTCTTAATCAGCAGCTACTGCAGCACCACAAAACCAGTGGTGGCTCCCACAGTCCTACATAACGATGGTGAAACTACCAAACCACGTATCTCGGTTTGCGACGTCGCAGACTTCCTGTCATACTTTATTTTTTAAATGAAAAACTACTTAACATCCAGTCTTGAAAATTTCTGTGATTTTTCCTCTTTGTGCGGAGAAAATTCCGTGAAAATTTCAAGGAATGATATTGATTTGGTCTACTTCAAAAAAATAAAATGTGAGCGTAGATTTTTAAACACCGCAAACGAGATGCGTGGTTTGGTAGTTTCACCGTCGATAAGACAAGTTCTGAGGATTATCAAAAACTAAAGGTGAAAAAGCACTGAAAATTGTGTTTGAGGGGTGCCAAATTTTCAAGCTTTTTCCGAAAAAAACTCACGAGAAGTGGGCGCGGGAAAAATCCCTAGACTCTCCTCTTGTCCTTCCAAATTTTGCACCAATCACATGTTCTTGGTTCTTTGTGAATTCATTTCATTTATATATGGTTTCTGTTTGTAAGACTACGTCTAAATAAGGTTTCTTCACCAAATTTTAGACCCAGACAGATCCAGATTTTTGTCTCATGCTGAGGAAGCACAGTCTCCTCAAGACATTTGAAAAAGTCTCCATCTCTCATAAGCGCTCTGCGTTAGCGTTAACGCGCGGCAACGATGTTACGGCTTGCGTCGTCAAGACGCATCGACGTTATAGACGTTAAAGTCGACAGTGGCGAAACAAGTCAGCACTCAACAAGCGCGCCTCGCACTTAATACATACACGCTCCCCGCTCGCAGACCAAGTTTGCCAGATTGTGCGATCAAATTTGTATAAGTCGCAGGCAAATAGTAAAATCAGGCATTTTGTTAAATGCCTGGGCAAATGGTCAGCTATTTTCAATTCTGACCCTTTTCTTAATTTTGGACAAAATAACTCATTGCCCTTGTGGGGAAAAATTCTATGTGAAAAGTTACATCATACACTGGAAAAGAAAAACACATTGGATCTAGAGTTCAGACTCTTGAAACATCGTCAAGAAGTACTCTTGATTCAATCAGAATCTAGCTTAAACCAAGAACCAAGCCTCTTAATTTAAGCGGATTTCGTTTTGATTCAAGCAAAAATCCGATTGGATCAAGAGTATTTTTTCTTGTCAATGTTTTCAAGAGTCTTGACTCTAGATCCAATGTGTATTTTCTGTCCAGTGTATACGGTAGTCTTTTCAACGATGTTTACCTCTTGAACGAACATTAGTCATCATTACCAAAATTTTCAGCATGCCATAAATTGCGGAATCCTTGAAATTTTGAAAATTTGTATGAGAGGTATTTAAAGAGGAAGAAACGAGAAAAAATTGTAGATTTGATGAGTTATTTTCCCTAAAATATTAAAAACTTGTGAGCTATTCCCCATAAATGTACACAGTTTCGTGAACTGTCAAAATTTAACTATCTCCCTAAACATTTGATAAATTACCTAATTTGGCTAATGGCCTGCGACATTACTTTACAGGGGGTTGAATGTGAAAAAATCCAGATTTTCCGCACTTTCTGGCAACAATTTTGCAAATTCCGGTGGTGTCCGCGCTGCCCCCGCGGGGGTGAGGGGGGAAGAGGGGGCGCGGCACTTCCTCTCAATTTGTCACACGTCAAATGAGTTGTTGCGACCGTAGCCGTAACGCGCGCCCATTAGGATCTGCGACAAAGCGCCGCAAGCCCGTGGGGTCGTGTCGTTCCCGTCTTCGTCCATTCCGGGGATTTTTGCGCGGAAATCATCGCGAAAGGAGCGTGAAGAAGAAAAGAAGGTGGTGGCAGACAGTGGGGAGGTGTGAAGCATTCGCTTTCGATAGGCTCATTTGACTCTATGGTGAAAAATCGATTATCAAGGTTTTCGTTGGCTGTGTCGCAGGCAAATAGTCAAATCAGGTATTTCATCAAATGCCCAGGCAAATAGTCAAATATTCTTACTTAGACTGGAAGAATGATAATTTTGCTAACTGCAGACAAAATCATTCTCTGATCATG